TCCTCAGCATGTTACGAGGTTTTGCAGAGGTGTGGAAGTAAACATTTGTTTCAGCTGTGGTGGAACAGGGACATATTTAAAAATTGCTGGACATCTTCTTTTATACACATACCACAGCAACGCTGTACTGCTCTACTTCACTTTAAAGCTTTAGTGACTCATAATGCTGTAATAATTTGATCTTCTTTGTGGATTTAGCTGCTCCAGGTGTAAAGCTGATTCCTGCTGCTGTTGTGATATCACAGAGTCCACAAGTCTACCAACCACATATCATTGCACCACCTGCCGTACAGGTAATACCATCGTTTGTAATGAATTACATAAAGTTGATAAACCATATGAACCTCTAAAAAAAATCCCCCATAAACTCTAATTCCAGGCGTTGCCTCTTGCCCAGCAACTTGATACAAAACCTCAGCCAGGACTTGCAGCTGTTGAATCTGTAGCTCTGCCTGCCTTGGCTGGAGCTGCTGCCCAGGTTAATGGAGCCAGTGCAATACCAGCTGCTGGACCGGCGGCGGAGCCCACCAGTGGTATGGACAGATGTGTTGCTTTAATAGACTTTTTTTTTTTTGTAATGGATACAATCTGACTTTTTTGTTTACTTTTTAAAACAGAAATTTCAGGAAAATTTGAACTCCTTTAAATAGGTTTTGGTAGGTTTCAATTGATCTAGCTTTTTCTAGATCAATTGACCAGAGTTGAATGCAAACTTAAGCTGATTCTGACTTTACTCTTTGAAGTATTGATAAAAAAAAGATACAGTCAGCTATTTATAATACTTGTTTATATCCTTCCTGCTTTAAATATTCATCTTAGCAACCAAGATGATGTCACACTGTGTAATACAGAAGCTGATGAAAAACACGGTTTTACTATCTTGAAACACAAAACTAATTTTTAGCATTTTATCAGTTAGTGCCGGTAGTGACCCAGTCTTACCTGTCTGAGCCTCAATTAACAACAGAAATGTCTCAATGTGTTGTAGAAAACATAGCTTCCTGTAAGTACCTTCTCTGACTTCTTATTGCCTCATCATTACTGAAGATGCTAAATTAAGTTCACTAGACTTGATCTACCCAGTCAGGGTAGGTCAAGCTGAAGGTTTTCTGATGACTCTTTAATTTCTAAGACTTTTTGTCTTATACAGCAGTAATAACTTGCATATCCTAAACCGGTACTATCACAACCTTTTAATGTGCTAATGTTTACATAATCAACAGGTTCTGTTCCTGATACATCTACATATCAATATGATGAGTCCTCTGGCTATTACTACGATCCTCAGACTGGCCTCTACTATGACCCAAATTCACAAGTAAGTAACACAAAGTCCTTAATATCAGCCAGTTTGGTTGGAGAGATTTCATAATGTTTTGATTTTGTACATCACTGCTTTATGTTTCAGTATTATTACAACACTCAGACTCAGCAGTACCTGTACTGGGACAGTGAGAAACAAACGTATGTACCAGCCTCTGGCAACATAAATGCTGGGCAGAATGATAAAACAGCAAATGGCTCAGCTGGAGGCAGCAAGGAGCCTAAAGAGAAAAAAGAGAAACCAAAGAGCAAGACTGCACAGCAGGTATTTTTATAAATCCCACTTTAAACACTTTATTTGTTTTGTTTAGCTTTATCTGTTTTATTACTTTCTTTTATTTTTAAACTGATTTTTAAATATTCCAGATTGCTAAAGACATGGAACGGTGGGCTAAAAGTCTCAATAAGCAGAAAGAAAACTTCAAAAGCAGCTTTCAGCCCATCAGTCAAGAAGAGAGGAAGGAGGCAGCAGCAGCTGATGCTGGATACACATTGTTTGAGAAGAAGGTATTTCATAAGATTCAACAACAAAATATCCTAGCGTAGGGTAATATTTGACAACAAATTTGGATAAACATGTTGAATGATTCTTCAGCAGGCAGGTCTAGACAGACTCATGCAAGAGGTTGCGAGGTGCGCTGAAGAGGAAGCACTTCCCATAAGCTCTGCCAGTTCTTCCAAGGTATTTCCTCTTTCTGGAGTTTCCTTCGGTGTTATTGTTTGGTTTTTATGAGACGTCCGCTCTGTGTTTGTGGGTTAGTGTGGCCTGGTGGCAGCCTACAGTGGAGACAGTGACCCTGAGGAAGGAGTAGCAGGAGGAGAATCCGATGGCGGTGACCTGTGTCTGGACAAGCTGACAGACTGGAAGAAGATGGCCTGTCTGCTGTGTAGGAGACAGTTCCCCAACAAAGAGGGTTTAGTGAGACATCAGCAGCTCTCTGACCTTCACAAGGTATCACCCTAACTTACTGACTTCTGACTGACTTGTTTCAAATTTCAACAGTCCAACTAAAAAAAAGAAAAATTCTATTTTCTCTTAGAAAAACCTTGAAGTTCTCCGCAGATCTAAAATGAGTGAAGCAGAGCTGGAAGAGTTGGAAAGGAAAGAAACAGAGGTTTGAGCATACACTCATATGCTTGGATATGTTCACCTTACTTTGACCTTTTTTTTTTAATTTGAAATATATGTATTTTTGGTATCAGCAAAAATACAGGGACAGAGCAGCTGAAAGAAGAGAAAAATATGGCATCCCAGAACCACCAGTGCCTAAAAAGAAGAAATTCAACCAGCCAGCACCAGTTGTGTAAGAGCATTGTTGTGTATTTTAAGACACAATTTGTACTTTTTTTTTCTGCTTTACTATAAAAATTAAAAATTTATTTTTTTACCTGTGCAGAAACTATGAACAGCCCACTAAAGATGGGCTTACAAGTGATAATATTGGGAACAAGATGCTGCAGGCCATGGGCTGGAAGGAGGGGAAAGGTCTTGGTCGCAACCAACAGGGCATCACCGCTCCAATCGAGGTACATACCGTAAACCTGGAGATGACAGGCTGCATCTCGCTGAGCAGTATTAATTACTGTAATGTGTGCTAATGCGTGTCCTTTTCCTCTGCAGGCCCAGTTGAGAACTAAAGGAGCTGGACTGGGCACCAAGGGAACCAACTACACCCTGTCTGCTTCAGATACATACAAAGACGCGGTCCGGAAAGCAATGTTTGCCCGCTTCACAGAATTGGAATGAGTCGTTTTCTAACTTGATTGTGTTGCTGTGATCTGTCAAATATCAGCCACACTATCGCAGAGGAGAAGATGGACTCCTGTTAAATAAATCCACTCTGTATGACACAAAACGGTTAATGTACTGTCACAAAATGGACCACCAGAGGAGATTTGTTAAAGTTACCTGAAGTTGTAAAGGATCTAATTTATAAATTGTACATATGCATAATGAGTCGTCTTTGTTGATTTACATTGCTGTTTTTTTTGTTTCTTTGATTTAAATTTGTTTTTGCATGACTGTACAGTTTATACGAGATCTTGTCAAATGTAAAAAAAAAAATAAAAGATGGGATTAAAGTTGGGATCATTATGTAAGACTTGAGTCTTGTTATGACAGGTCAGCTAAAAGTTTTTTCAGAAAGCGAATCTGTTATGTGTGTTAAGATTAATTACTACTGGTATTTTAAAAACAAGCACCTCCTGACCCCAATAGGGTCAAGGGAGTGAGAAAATGGATGGATGGTATTTGAAGACTTTTTACATTGTAGATTATTGCCAACCAGCTCTCTCCCCATGATTTCAGCACAAAAAACAAGCTTTAAGAATTTGAGAAACAAAAACTGTTTCAGCAGTTCACACATTTTACAGCACAGCCAACAATTTTATGCTTAGCACGGACTGACACGTTTTAAAGAAAGACCTTTTTAAACTGAAAAAACAAGGAAAATTCGAGACATGTCACGTGTTTATTACTCTACAAATGAAACAGGATGAGTGACTGGAAGTCAGAAGTGATAACATTTGTGAGGAATGTGAGATCTGTGTATTTCAGCCTACTTGAGGAGGACAACAGAAACTGTTGTTTCACAGGACTGAGAGTCCAGTCCATGAAAATAACACTGATAAGTTTTTGTGTGTTTATTTAAAATTCAGAACATTTAATGGTTGAATATTTTCATGATTTAGTTGTTTTATTTGTGAGCATGAGACGATGAAACATTTGGAAGGGGCACCCACAGAGATTCTTTTGGGGGTTGTTTTCTGATTTTGCTTTATTTTAAGAAATTCAGTTTAATCCCACAGTAAACTGTGAAGGAACCTGTATAAATATGTCACTTATGTTCATACTTATGGAACAGATTGTGTCAGAATGCATTTTTAATGACTTTATTAGTAGGCTATATATTTTTTGATGGTCAGATATATAAATATTTAACAACTCTTGAATTATTGTATAGTTCTACTTTTGGTCAGTTTGGTCTTCCATACAAACTGACCCCTAGAGGCCGCTAAAAGTACTGTTTTTGGGCGGGCAGGTGACTAGATCTGTTTTGAGAATATCGGTGATTTTATTTTGGCTCCTGGAGGCACAAGAAAAAGAAAAAAAAAAGATTACATGTTTTGTTTTATTGTATTGTTGCCACACCTTAAATTTGCTCCTAATTTTCTCGTCAGTCATGTTTCCATGCATCGGTAGATAACTTGACAGTGGTAATTATAACCTCTGTTATAATCTCTGTTATAATTACCCATCAGATGTTCAGCGATGACTTAGCTGGCATTGAGAAAGCTGCAAGATGTTTCTGCTGGATCCCTCACTGGCAGCACAGAGCAGAAACTTTTCCACATTGTCTCTTAGTGGTCTTGATGCGCTCTTTCACCCGAACAGACATGGATTCTGTTTCAGGCAGGAAGTAAAGGCGCAAAAGTGTGAGTTGCTCAATGCGCACTGCAGAGCCGCTTTATCTTGCTTCATGCATGCTGCAGAATGGTATCCGCTCGGTTCCCTTGTTTCCAAAAGAGTTGAAACCTTACCTCCCAGCAGACTCAGGCGCAGTGGGTGGGATGGACAGAGGGCGGAGGTGGGGTGCGAGTGGGGTGGGGGTGGTGCGGGGTGCGCACACAGGAGGCGGACCTACGTTGCGACCCCCACAGCTCTGGCTGAAGATGATTTTACGATGCCGACCATTTCCCCAAGCACATTTTGTGGCCGCAGCGCAGCAGAGAGACGATCAGTCGAGTAAAAGCCGCAGATATCAAACACGGAGAAAGAGGAGAGTTGAGGAGGAAAGGAAACAGCGCTGCCCATTGTAACACTTCGCAACATCAGTGGAATAAGGCTCAAATCTTCAGGACAAGTGCGATTGGTAAGAGTCGACAAAATCTTTATGTTTAAGTTTCTCATAAACTAAACTCTGTGGTATTATGACTAACTGGTTTTATTTTATATTCAAGTTTGTTATGTGTTTTTTGTTAAAACTAAGATCTGTCAGTCATAAGTGGAAGAGAAGGAGGTATCTTAATCTTAATCTTAATGGAAATATGTGAAAACTTAAATGTGTTATTGTTGGATGGCGAAGTGTCTGCACCAACTTGTAGTTGAACGTCTTAGGTGATAAAAAAAAAGAGCACAAATTGCTCCCTCTTTTGAGGGAGCGCCAACCTCAGGACATGTCAGGAGGACCATGTGGCGCTTTAAGTGACAAACTGGTGGTGTCCATCTTTTGTTCCTGAAGCGTTTTATTCTCCCTGGGCTTTGTGAAGTTTAATTGACCCTTTTGAACTGTTTAATCTAAGTTGCAAACGTGACGCACTGTGACACACAAACCCGCGTTTGCAGCGTGGGAATCCAAATATCCTAGTTTGGGATTTGCTGCACCAGATTTCTGCAGCGCTCTTAAAACTTTGTCTCGTGACGTCACTGCCTCACTTCTACGTGACATTTTCCAGCTCCACATCTTTTCCTTAACCACTTAGGTTCCTTACTATTGAAGATAATGGGTAATATTGCCGCTAATGGGTGAGGGATGTTCTCCTTTTTTTCCATACACGAGCAAAACAAACACCATTACCAACCAGCAGAGGCCATTTAAAGCTCCTCTTCTTTGTTATTGTAGGCTAAACATAACCATGTGGAGGAAGAGGGAGAAATGGAAAGAGCGCCCTGTGTGGGAAGTAGCCTGCATGGTGCGCATTTTCACTCATTCCTCTCTGATGTGTTTTCATTGTGTGCCTGCTGATAATAAAAATGAGAAGCTTTACTCTACAGACATGCTTCTCAAACTGTGGGGCAAGTCCAGTTCGTGCCATTGAGGTTTCCTGCAATGGTTCTGAAACAACATTTTGGCACAAATATTGGCATTGTAAATATGAACAAATGAACTATAGCATGTGCTGCAATGCAAAAGTGTTTGCCCCCCCTTGAACTTTGATACATTTCTTCACGTTCACATTATGACCAGGACAATTCTGTAAGATACCAGCGCTCAATAGAGTATATTTTGTGTATATGGTTGTTAAATCTCAGGAAAGCAAATGAAGGTGCTGCACCTTTATTTACTTTGACTCCACCGTCATTTTTATCTATGCTGCAGTCAGACACTATCCAGCAGCTGCTGCTGGGTCATCACTGGTTCAATGACATGCAAACTATCAGAAGTACTAGATAGTTAATACGAGCAACTACGTAGTAGATGCGCACAGACAGAACCAGGTGGTGCTTCAGGTTTCCCAGTCAGAACATTCAGGTTCTTAGCAACAGCACGTGTCTCTAAATGCGTAAAGCTGGTAGAAAGAAACACCACTAAATAATCACTGCTAGTTGGAGAATATATATATATATGTGTGTGTGTGTGTGTATTTTAAAATAACATTTAATCTGACAGACCTTATGTTGGTCTGCCAACAAGTTAAACTGTGGTTATCAAGTTGATCAAATGTTCTAAACTATAACAAGATTTGCCCGATAGCATTGTTAAAGATGAGGGTGTTAAAAAGTCTCATTTTTAAGAGTTTATCTGGCTTGATAGCCTTAAAGAGAATAGAAAATGTATCCATGACCTTAGTGGACCTACAGCTGGTTGCCTTCTAATTCAAGCTTGGTCATATTTTTGTCTGGATTAAACACAAACTATTTTTTTCTCATTCACTGAAGTTTCTTAAAAGGAATTGAGACATTTTTTTTAAGCTTGAAACAGCAGATACACCTTATTCACAAAACCTTTGTTGGTCCAAAACACCACATGATCCCTTTGGCAACTACATATGATCTGAGCTATTGTATTCTAGATATTGATCACAGTCACTTTCCATCATCCACATCTTAAGCAATTCTCTCTACATGTTGCAGCATGCAATTTTTAGACCTTCACTTGTTATCATTTTGAACCTTTTGTCGATGTCATGTGCTGCTGTCATATTGATTGAAGCCTTTCAAATGGGAAATATTAACAGTGTGAATGAAAAATACACAACATGATCAACATGGTATTAATCTGAGCTCAGACTGTTCATAAAATTTAATGTGGATTTTGTCAACCCTGAGTTTTTCCAAAATAGCGATAGGGAAATAATAATAAATCTCTGAGAAGCTTATTGTCACTGTTTATTTTATTATATTCTAGCTTAAACTTGTTATATATACTCTTGACGATCGAGTCATTTTAAGGTACATTCCTTTTTTACAAGATGACTTCTTTCATATTTAAAATTTGTTTCAGTGTTGCTTCTAGTTTGGTTGTTTGACAACCTTGAAACGGGGACCAGCTGTTGCAATAACGTACATGACAGGAAATGAGGTCCATAACCCCCACTTGCTCCAATGTGGGCCATGACTTGACGTCACAGTAACACCGACGCGGGTAAAACAACTTTATTTGAACATCAAACACATTGCAAAAGGTGCTTCAATGCCGCTGGGGACAGAGAAAGAAGGTTTGAACTCTTAAAGGTTTTTAGTGGTGGGTTGATTAGAGTTCAAAAAGAACAAATAAACCCTTGTGTTGGCAGTGACCTCGACTTGTGCAGAGGTCAAAATGGCAGGAAGTGGACAGGTGCACAGTGTGTGGAAGTCAATGTTTTATCTAGGCTGGACGCAGCCAGCTGCTCTGCAGTCCCATCGAGGAGATGTGTGGATTTCTGTATCTGAGTCAGCCAAAGTGTTAAGTGTCAGCCACTCCAGGGTTTATTATTATCTTTGTCATGGGGCTCATAATCTGTGAGAGCTGAGCACGACTGTATCATGTGCTGTTTTAGATTTGTTTTGGAGTCCTTGCAAGTCATTTTGTAAATACGTATTGTACATAGAGTGGTTGTTCCATACAGTATTGATTTGAGCTTTTTCTTTCTGAAATTGGAAGCTTTCAGTGCTGAAATAGACATTATTATCCATACAGTATTTCCCAAAAAACAAGTTAAATCCTCTTCTGACTTGTTACATTGTTGTTTAATGTCTCTTTCAAAGCTACATTTAGTAGCAGGTACATATTTTTTAATTAAAAAAAGCTCAGAGTAAAGTACGTCAGCGGTAATGGTCAAATATTTGACTAACACATGACGACCACAGCTTACAAATCATGCTCCAAAAGGTATTGCTCATGCTGTAATGAGGCAAACATTCGCCAAACTTGTGCATTTTTTCAGTAAAACATGTAGGCATGTTTGTCCACCACATAACTGCTCTTATGTTTGTTTGCACTGTCTATAGACTTTATTAATATTTCCCTCAGGACTCAGGAAACAAATTGGATCTGATGTCAGATCGGCGAATCAGACCGATTAAGGCTACATTCTAGCATCAAGCTGTCTCACTGGAAATATTGTGTCTGATAACAGTTGCCAGATTGTTTCAAATTTTGGATGAAATATTTGGCAGAGGTTTGACAGAGATGTGATCATGAGTGACGACAGAGATGTGCTGACCCGTTTCGGGGTTTCAGGAGCTGCATTTGGGCCACTTTTAATTGCGATTCTAAGGTTGTTTGTTCCAATTTATGTTTTCTTGACTTTTTGGAGAAAAGGGTAGAAGAGTAGCAGATGGACACACTCAGCTCTTAAAGAATGATGCATTTATTCACCCCTTTTGTGGATTTAATTTATGGTATGAGAATGCAGAGAAGAAACTATCAGCACAAAAAAGAGGCTTCTTTTTTGACATAAAGAGTAGTTTCATAAGATGGTCATATGTGGAACAAAATACCTACAGCAGTATACTTCTTTATGTCACATGAACCTTACAATGTAACTTTGCTACATTGGTGCTTTATAGCTTTATATTTATATACATGCATATATATATATGTGTATATATATATATTTAGATATAGATGCACATTTAAATGAACAAGGTATGTTGTTTCAAATGGATTTTCTTGTTTCAGTATCACTTTGTATGCTGTTTATGAAGGAATGCCCATTTCAACATCTTTCAAGCTCAACTCTTTTTTTGTTGATAAGTGCTTTAAATTTCTATTTTTGTAGGAATTGTGAAAAGCAGAAGCATTTCAAACTCGACTTGCAATCTGAAAGTTGTGGCTTGACCTCCAGTTTCCTGTAATATCAGGTTATTCATTGACATTTTTTCACTTTATTCTGTCGGTTACAGAGTCTGGCTCTGTGGTGAATTCTCCCTAAACCTAAAGCCACATGATACCACCATCAATACATTTCTTGTTTCGTCTGACAACATTTGAGTACTATGCGGGTGCTAGCTGCCAATAAATGTGGAATAGATCATTAAATAAGCTATTAAAGTCATTTATTGTCCTGGAATTTAAATATTGTGAAATATCAGTGGAAAGAAAGGGTAGTGATAGAGCATTTAACTAAAAAGTTAATTAGTCAAAGTTAAGCTATATGTGCCAACTCTGAGAGCGGACCCTCATCAAAACTGTGCGCTCTGAGCTCCCTGGAGAGTAATTGCTGAGTATGTCCTGCTGTTCTTTTATGCTTTTTCCAGGAGAAAAAATGTCCTGCCACATTTCAACAACACTCGCAGTTAATTCGAGGTAATTGAGCCTTTATGTAACATACATGGGTTTTATTTTTAGTTAACATGTATGAGGCCAGATGACAGTTACAAAAAACGAGCATTGTTTGCATGAATAAATCAGTGTCAGTGTTACCAAAAATCTTTCTGATGCATGAATTATTTACCACTCCACTTCATGAGTTCTAATGTAAAGTTAAAAAAATTATGAAGAGATTTTTCATATTTATTTCTCAAGATTTAAGAGTTTTGAAGTATTAATACCGATAACTTGTGGGCATCAGGCCGCACAGCTATGCAAAAAATGTGAAGTTACTTTTTGAAAACCACCTTTTCTTAACTGGATACAGAGCAAAGCTGCCATAAGCTTTCACCATGAAT